GGTTTGATCAGAGGCTTGATCGGCCTACAACCAATCAGATGTTTGTTACAGTTCCCATGTTCGGCGCATTTCGCGACCATTCGGCAAGCTTGAATTATGACTCGTATGCCCAGGTCGATGAGTGATGCCATTTGTTGATCAAACGTGCAAGGAAACGCAATTTTGAAACAATTCTGGAGTTACTATCGATATTTATTATATATTTGGTCTTACAATCATACTAAATAATGGAACGTTTTTTTTTTAAATATAAATTTATGGTCAGTCACAAGGACTGATGGTTTTTCACAGCTCTAGGCCCTTTACACCCACTGTCGGCGTGAGGCCGGCGGACCGACGTTAATTTCGAACACTGACTGAATGTAAACTCGTATATCACATTTGAAAAGTCATTTGTCCACTTACTGTGTTTGAATCTAAGCGTTTTTTGCTGAACTCTACAAATCTTGTTTTCCACTCCTCACTGCACAGTCCTTCAAAGTTTGTGGTGGACTTGGTAGAGTTGCACAGATTTTTGAATGGAGATGATCAACCAAATTGCTTCTCCTTCTTGAAGAAAATCAGAATTAATCTTACTTTTAATATCATACTTGAATGCATTGCAGATTTGAGGTCACATGCAGAAAGCACTGTAGTGTATGGTAGAAATAGAAACCATCACTGAATGTAAATGTCAGCATAACATTTTTTGTTGTCAATTTGGCCTGTTATTTTTCATTAAACAGGAAAAAGATGTATAATAGTAAGGTCATCACAAGAATATCGCCAAATATGATAGAAACTATTACTAAACACACTTGTTAAAGACGCAAACCAGACGTGTACTATGTCAAAGTTTGTGGCTTGTGCCAAAGTCGAAGCATACACTAAGAATGCTGCACGGAAAATTAATAGGGAGATAGTGGTTTTCCAGATAAACAAATAACTAACTTTAAGTTTTGAAACAGATGCAGAGACTGTATCTAATGTTAAGTTCAGGCTGGAATATACTAAATACTGAAATTGCCATAGTTTGAATATGCCAATGTGACTCGGGAATTAAAAAAAAAAGTTTCTGGTCAGCATGTGTAACACCAACGAAAATGTGAATTTATAAAACCTAAAAGTTTGTGCCCCAACAAATATAGGAAGATAACTTTTCCAGAAACCTTTTTTTTTTTATGCAAGGTCTCCTAATTTCCATTTGTCATGGTGCATTATTATAAACTGTATTTGCTTCAATAGAAGGGCTTGCAAGGCCAAAATACTTTTTTATTTAAGGCAAAAAATGCCAACGTTATTCAACATGGTGTATACATAAGCACATGCGCTTCTAATAGAGAAAATATGATAAACAAGATTGGCTAATTGTATCAGTCTTTATAGATCTCTAGGTTATACATGTATATTATATTTATTTATTTATCTTTTGTTAGGCTAATGCGGTTGGCAGAAGTGCAAAGACAGTACGAGAATATTTAGAGAAACACTACAGTGAGAGCGTTGCTTCATCAGAAAAAGAAACCATAAAACTAGCAATAAAGGCACTACTAGAAGTTGTGCAGTCCGGAGCTAAAAATATTGAATTGGCTGTGATGAGACGGGGTGAACCACTGAAGGTATGTATGGTTTAAACGAGGGTTCCAGTAATGACCTGCATATATAGATGGTTTGATAAGACAGGGTGAACCATTGAAGTTATTTATAGTGTAGTCTATGATCTTACTAATGACATGCATATAGATGGATTGATATCAAATATAAGTATCAAATGCTGTTTTTGGAAAACAAATTGTCAGCAGAAAGACTGATAGACTTTTCTATATGTCATTACAGATGTTGGAATTAGAAGAAATTGAAAAACATGTTGCAGAGATAGAAAAGGAAAAAGAAGAAGAAGCAGAGAAAAAGAAACAAAAGAAAGGTGGTGCAGCTGATAAATAGTGACCAAGATCTAGAATTGTCCACAACATTATTGCTTCTGAATGCTTTCATTTCATATTTTGTGTATTCACATCTTTGTGCAAGAAAGCAGTGTTTAATAAATTGTTGCTCATGAGAAGGTACCATGTGTGCTTATGGCTTCATCTCTGGGGCACTGAAAGAATGATTCAATGAAAATAAAACCCAGCAAATATACCGTTGTTTCTATATTTAACATTAGCGTGTCAAAATTAGTGAAAATATGAAACGCCTATAAGTATTCAGCACAAATTAATTCCTCCTAAAATGCTGTAAAGGGGTTAATTATTCACTGGGTTTTAATTTGGCTTTTTTCGCTGACTGGAAAATGCGCTAAATTAAAACCCAGTGAATATGTAAAATTAAGCATGGAACACATTATCCAAACGATAAAACCGTGAATTTTGAACCCACTAAATATGCCTGAAACGCTAAATCAGTGAAATTTAAACCCAGTGAAAATTAGTCATTTTACAGTAAAATATTTTACAGTAATTGTAAATATGCACATGCATTTGATTTTTGTTTTATTGGCCGTTGACAGCTTGTCTATTATTTCTAAAAATCAACATTGAACATGTTATTAGCAGTATTTCGGGAATGCCATCTAGCCCATTTCATTTAAATTTGCTATGATGGGTTACTAATGGCAGAATAGCAACCAATAATGGAGAGTACTGCCAAATGATCACTGGTCATATATCTGGGGAGAGCACTGAGTACTGCCAAATGATCACTGGTCATATATCTGGGGAGAGCACTGAGTACTGCCAAATGATCACTGGTCATATATCTGGGAAGAGTACAGCCAAATAATCACTGGGCATATATCTGGGAAGAGCACTGAGTACTGCCAAATGATCACTGGTCATATATCTGGGGAGAGCACTGAGTACTGCCCAATGATCACTGGGCATATATCTGGGTAGAGCAGAGAGTACTGCCAAATGATCACTGGGCATATATCTGGGGAGAGTACTGCCAAATGATCACTGGTCGTATATTTGGGAAGAGCACTGAGTACTGCCAAATGATCACTGGGCATATATCTGGGGAGCGCACTGCCAAGTGATCACTGGTCATATATCTGAGGAGAGTACAGCCAAATGATCACTGGTCATATATCTGGGGAGAGCACTGAGTACTGCCAAATGATCACTGGTCATATATCTGGGGAGAGCACTGAGTACTGCCAAATGATCACTGGTCATATATCTGGGAAGAGTACAGCCAAATAATCACTGGGCATATATCTGGGAAGAGCACTGAGTACTGCCAAATGATCACTGGTCATATATCTGGGGAGAGCACTGAGTACTGCCAAATGATCACTGGTCATGTATCTGGGGAGAGCAGAGAGTACTGCCATATGATCACTGGGCATATATCTGGGGAGAGCAGAGAGTACTGCCAAATGATCACTGGTCATATATCTGGGGAGAGCAGAGAGTACTGCCAAATGATCACTGGTCATGTATCTGGGGAGAGCAGAGACTACTGCCCAATTATCACTGGTCATGTATCTGGGTAGAGCAGAGAGTACTGCCATATGATCACTGGGTGTATATCCCGGGAGAGTACTGCCAAATGATCACTGGGCATATATCTGGGGAGAGCACTGAGTACAGCCAAATAATTACTGGTCATATATTTGGGGACAGCTGAGTACTGCCCAATGATCACTGGGCATATATCTGGGTAGAGCAGAGAGTACTGCCTGTAGTATATTACTCTTAGGTTCTGTAATATACCAGATCGTCACTCTTACTGCTATAAATTAAAGGACTCAAATCAGAATTGAATCGTTACATGGAAGGAGACTTACCAAAACTCGCAACGAGGCTGTACCCAGCATGCAATACGCCTAGGCAAACCCAATACATTACATCCCTCCTTTTCTTGAATGAAAAGCACACATGTACTATGCTTGGCTTAACGATATGTTTGAAACCAGTTCACATGTTTTGTTACATAAAGTACAGAAAATAACAGAAACATAACAACGTTCAAATAAATTTCAAAACAGTAAAATATTGTATCACAGTGTTCATCGAACTAAATATTGCTTTGCTATCAGTTCATGATGAAATCGGTAAACTTTGACGGTGTTTTCTTCAGCCTTTCTGACGTCTGATTGTGGTAATGAAGATCGTGTGACTTAATCTGTTTGTTCACCAGGTATAGAATCTAGTGATGGCTTGCTTT